AAACATGCATATATGCAAATATGTACTTTATAGACATTTTTTGAAAAAAGTTGGCTCTTATAATGCCCAATGAGTTATTTCTTCTATAAACAGATTTTCAGGTGTTTTTGTATGAAGAAACAAAACTGTAGAAAAGATTTTATGAGTGAAGAACAGTAACTCAGGCTATCAATATGTTGTATTATCAATATTTATTTTCATAAATTCTTTCAATTAGTTAGTCAATCTTAACTTTTCCTGGTAATTGCTCTATTTTCCTTTGTAATTCATGTGGTTCATAATTTTTCATAATTAGAAGAATACTGTTTCATATTAATATGAAATAATTGAAAGAAATCTGATGTAACTATGATAAAACATAATTTGTGATATTTTGGCCATTGTATTTAAGATCATTGTGCATAAAATGTAAATTAACCAACAGTTGTTCCATTGCATAGGATGAAATACAGTTATACCATTGGTATGGGAAATCATAAGAATGATCTAATAGGCAGAAATGTTTCTGCCTACAGATTTAACAAACTTATAAGTTTAAATGAAATTACTAATATTCCAAGAGAATCAGCCATCCTTACATTGAGCAGTAAATTTTATTTAGGCACTGATTACGTACTTCTGAATCAGCTTTAGTATACTAGCACACTGGCTACTGAACATCTGAGTGGAGACTCAAAACATCCAACAATAAGCATCTCCTCTTGCTAGATGCAAAGGGGTTAGAGATTAAACCTTTCAAGGTAGAGATTTATTTTTCTATATGTTTAAAAGCTGTAGCTCATAGGCTATTTTTTTGTTTTCTAGTCTTCCATTATCACAATGATCTTAACATCTTTAACCTTTCATACCACAGGTTCATCATTAAATGTCAGATAACGTGTTTCAGAGGCTAATTTTTCTTTTTTGTTTTTACACTTATGTCAGCATCCATGACATTATAGCTCTTTAACTTCTTCAGTGAAATATGGTGTCAGAAGGAAAAAACTTGTAATCCAGAATTCTATATTCCAGAGCTGTATTCACTACAGTGAACTTCACAAGGCATCTAGCAACGAATTTTCTGTAAGCAGTTTGGATTAGAATCTATTGGTTTGCAGGGGAAGAGAAAGTAATTGAAATAACATCATACTGGTTGTCAACATTCTTCTGAATCAAGCAACTTAACAGTCTATTTAAGGAATTAATACAACGGTATTAAAAAACTTAAGTAAATTTCTGCTTTTTAGATTTATTTTCCTGTAGAGAATACAATGCACTGTCATGTGGAAAAAATGGGGGGAGGAAAAAAAAATATGCTCACGTGTTTGGAGAACACTTTACAGTTGAGAAAACAGAAAACAGTGAAGAAAAGCACCAGTTTAGGGTGCAAGGACCTCAAGTTCTTTGCCGTTGCTGCTTTGTTGCGTAACCTATCTTCCCCAAATTATGCTCCTCACTTCTATGCTATGTACAGGAAGAAGTGAATGATATGAAAGTAGATATAAAGAAGCTATAGCCAATCTCATTCTAGGTTAGTATAATACATTCAGAAATGAAGCATACTTACGTTTGACTCTCAAGTTTAGGAAGCTCATGATATTTTATTAGTACTATCATATTTATTTATTTATTCATTCATTCATTTATTGTAGCTGCTGATGAGAATAACTCAGCTTTGGAAAAGGGCTAATGCAGAGAAGATGATTAACTAAGAACATGACAGCAGTACAATTTTGAATTGAAAGAAGGCAAAGCAAGGAAATATATCCTCATAATGGATGAAGAAACAACAAGGTTTAGAGAGACTTTGATAATGTCTTAGAGATTGTCTCTTTTTTTTTTTTTTTCCAGAGGAACTTAGAGTACTTTATAAATGTTATAGAATATACGAGTTATACAAGGAGATATATATATTATATATATATACTATATATATTATATTATATATATATATATTATATATATATATATTATATACGAGTTAGACAAGGAGAAGGCTGAGGTCCTCAACGCCTTCTTTACATCTGCCTTTAATAGTCAGACCAGTTATCCTCAGGGCACTTTCTGCCCTGATCTGGAAATCTGGGCTGATATGCAGAATATCCCTCCAGAGATTCAGGTGGAGGCGGGTAGGGAGCTCTTCCTCCATCTGGACTGTCACAAGTCCATGGGACCGGATGGGCTTCATCCTAGGGTGCTGAGGGAGTTGGCAGGGGTGATTGCTAAGCCGCTTTCGGCTATCTACCAGTGCTCCTGGATGACTGGAGAGGTTCCAGAGGATTGGAGGCTTGCTGATGTGACTCCCATCTACAAGAAGGGCCGTAAGGAGGATCCGGGAACTAGAGGCCTCTCAGCCTGACATCAGTGCCAGGGAAGGTAATGGAACAAATCCTCCTGGGAGAGATCACACGGCTCGTGCGTGGCGTCCATGGGATCAGGCCCAGCCAGCATGGATCTATGAAAGGCAGGTCGTACTTGACCAACCTCATCTCCTTCTACAATTGGGTGACCAGACAGGTAGATGAGGGAAAGGCTGTCGATGTAGTCTACCTAGACTTCAGCAAAGCCTTTGACGTGGTCTCTCACAGTATCCTTCTGCGGAAACTGGCTGCCCCTGGCTTGGACAGTTTTACCCTCCGTTGGATAAGGAACTGGCTGGAGGGCCATGCTCAGCGGGTCGTGGTCAATGGAGTTAAGTCTAGCTGGCGATCCGTTTCAAGTGGTGTCCCCCAGAGGTCGGTGCTGGGGCCCATCCTGTTTAATATCTTTACTGACGACTTAGATGAAGGGATTGAGTGTACCCTCAGTAAGTTTGCAGATGACACCAAGTTGGGAGGTGGTGTCGATCTGCCTGAGGGTAGGGAGGCCCTGCAGAGGGATCTAGATAAGCTGGATCGCTGGGCTGAGGTGAATGGGATGAGGTTTAACAAGGCCAAGTGTCGGGTCCTGCACTTTGGCAACAATAACCCCATGCAGCACTACAGACTTGGGGATGAGTGGTTGGATGACTGTGAAGAGGAAAGGGACCTGGGGGTGTTGGTTGATGCTTGGCTGAACATGAGCCAACAGTGTGCCCAGGTGGCCAAGAAGGCCAATGGCATCCTGGCCTGCATTAGAAATAGTGTGGCCAGCAGGAGCAGGGAGGTAATTGTCCCCCTGTACTCAGCACTGGTGAGGCCGCACCTCGAGTACTACGTTCAGTTTTTGGCCCCTCACTACAGGAAAGACATTGAGGCCCTGGAAAGTGTCCAGAGAAGGGCAACTAAACTGGTGAGGGGTCTGGAGCACAAGCCTTATGAGGAGTGGCTGAGGGAGCTGGGATTGTTTAGTCTGGAGAAGAGGAGGCTCAGGGGAGACCTCATTGCACTTTACAACTTCCTGAAGGGAGGTTGTGATGAAAAAGGGTCTGGCCTCTTCTCCCAGGCGAGTAGTAGGACCCAAGGAAATGGCCAGAAGTTGTATCAGAGGAGGTTTAGCTTGGACCTTAGGAGAAACTTTTTCTCTGAGAGGGTGGTCAGGCACTGGAATGGCCTGCCCATGGAGGTGGTGGAGTCGCCGTCCCTGGTGAGGTGCCTGGATGAGGAGCTACGAGATATGGTTTAGTAGCTTGTGGTACTAATAGGAATGGGAAGATGGTTGGACTAGATGATCTTGCAGGTCATTTCCAACCTTGTGATTCTATGATTCTATGATTCTATGATACGAGTTATACTTTATTCTACACTGACTAGAGTGGCTAACATATAGAAGAAATTTACCTGTGAACACATATCCTCATCACTTAGATATGAGGTAATTCTTGCAAGATATTTTAAAAATATCACCTGGTAGTATTACCTTATATTCCACAACAATGTATAACTAACATAGCTTTTACAGCTAGGAAAATGAAAAGCAAATATTTATTGTATCCAGTATATCAAATAAAACTGAAAAAACTGAAAGAAAGTATAGATTAATTCAGAATGATAACTTCTACGCAAGTAAGCTTGTGAGACATATTTTTATACATTTATCATTTATACCACCCAAGTAGCAGTTTTGGAAACAGTTTTGTACTATTGTAAGGTGTATTTTTGAGCTGAGGTCACTGAGGTAAAGAAAGAAGTAAGTATGCTGTTTGACCTTTCACAGGAATTCCAGATAAAACCCCAGAAGTTGAGTCATAGATAATCACAATATCTGGAATCTGTAATAACAAACTGTTCATATATCTACCTGTCAGCTGTCTTCCTCTAAGAGAGGGAAACAAGGTCACTGAAATGGCAATTTTCCATCCTTTTTTTTTTTTTTTTTTTTGGAATATCATGAGGTAAATGGAGAATCAAATATTTCCAGGAAAATATTTTCCATCAGGCCCAAGTAGATTTATTTCAAACATTTGTTAGTTACTTTTTTCTTTTGTCAGATTTAACAACTTCCTACAAGTAGTAAGTTAACCATATAGTTTTGTCAGCTGCTAGAGAATAAAGCTATTTCTAAAGCCATAGTAATTCTTGTGATAGTGGTATCGTTTATTGTCTAATAACAATGTTTAAATGACTGAGTTATGTTAGGTAGCAATGTGAACAATACTAAACTCTAGGACTTAATTATTCTGAGTTTTCTGAAAGAAAAGTGTTAGAAAATTTTATCTCTCTTTTTTTTTTTTTTTCTCCATTACAAGAAGCCTGATTATATTTAAAATCAAAAGTAAACAAACTGTGATCCTGGCTGAGTGTCCAATCCATTTTCAATTGCGCTTTGCCTACAAACTCTGGAGAGGTACCAATAAGGAGAGTAGAAAAAGCAGTGTTGCTTTGATTAAGTTGGCTAATTTAAAAAAGAAAATGTATTTGAATATTTCAGCTACGCTCAGCAATTAAGACCTATGTGAGGTAACTGAGGAACAGAAACAACTGAATCTCTGTGCCTGTCCGTCTGTTCCTCATACAGTCTGACTATCCTGCATCATTACATTAATGTCAGTGCAAGAACTGGCTTTTGACCAGAGCTATTCTTTTTTTTTTCCTTGGCAGGGAGTGGTCTGATGCCCGAGTTCACACAGGAAGCCAATGCAAGAGCAGCAGCTTTTCTCCTGGGTCTCACATTGGCATTTGGACAGCTGAACCCAGCTTCCTGCACTCTGAGCTCAAGCAGGACACAGAGATACATTCATTTGGCCAAGGGGTAAGGGAACCCTTCTATTCTTTCCTTGTTTTGATTTTATTTTTTGAGAGGCCAGTTGCAGTTTTTATGTGGGACAAGGTTATTTAAACTTGATAATTGGTATCCCCATGTTCTTTTGTGTTTCTTAAAGAATATAGGGAATTAATTCCACACAGAGCACAAAACCCATATAACCACATAAAAAAGCAGTCCCAGTAGTATTTACCAGTACTTACAGTTCCTGTTAATAATTTGTTGTTGAGCACTGTGTATCTTCATTTGCTATAATTTATCTTTATATGCACATATTTATTTTACAGGTAAAAGAAACAGAATGAATAGCATAAGTGCAAACAAAGAACATTTTTTTCTTTTAGGAAAAATGTTGACTTTATCTGGACTTACAAATGTACTTTAGAAGGGACATTTAGAAACTTTTTTTAGTTGAAAGGAAGATCCATTGTTTTGAATGACTTCATGATCATGCTATTTATAAAACTGAATTTGTTTTCCTGATTTTCTGAAAAAAAAAAAGCCTTCCTGTTTAAGTTAATTTTGTGTGTATGTAATATACTACTGTTCTACTAAGAATAGAATAAGGTAGTAATATTTTATCATACTGATTAGTGTCAGGATTTTTTTTTTTTAATTTAATTTTTTAAAAAATATCCATTAAGGTAGTACTTCTCTTTTTCAGATGGTGACTCCATGAAGATAAGACCGTTGGCTCTCTATGAAAAAAAAAAAAAGTTTTTCTCAAATGCAGAATATGGGTGTGTACTACCTATGTGTGTCAAACATTTTCATAATTATGTAGTCAGTTTACTTTGAAAAAAATCACATTAATTTTCATTAATTTTCATTTGAAGAGAGATGCGAAACTTTTCTAAGGAATCTAGCAGAGCTCAGGATTCCTCAGAAACTGAAAGTTCTAGTTTTACAGCCTAAGTTATTTCTCATTAGTCATGTGACAAATCAAATCAAATTAATTGTGTATCAGCATGTGAATTTTTGCGTAATACATTGTGCAATTTGCTTCATAGTGTGCTGAATTTAAGTAGTAGTTATTAGTACGTCTTTTAATACCAAAGGCCACAACAGTGGGAAATTATTATTTTCTTATCTAATTTTGCCAGTTCTATAATGAGTTAAAAACAGTGGCTATTTTTCTTTTAGAAACACACTGTATATTACAGCAGATGGGGAATCTAAGGGGGGGCAAAGCAGATACATAGCCTCATAGACATCTGTCTTGTTTTGATTGTTTTATATGTACAGATCTGTCATAAAAAAGATTTTAAAGAGATGAAGAGGAGGGAGGAAAAATTATTACAAGAATTGTTAAAGGTAATACAGTTAATAATCAACATGTATATTTTAATTCCACTATTGAATATAGAAATCTCTCTATCAAAGTTTTATTTATTGTAGCTGAAAGGGGAGCTGATAGAATAACTATTCTGAAGAATTGTACAAAAAAGGTTTTTAGAAATTTTAAGTAGTGACAGGAGAGTAGAAACCATAATCTACACTATCATTTTTTCTCTCCTAAATAGGCTGGAGAAAAATAGATGTCTTGTAAAATCAGCATTTCCATTTCCAGATGGAATTTACTTTGTGGAAAAGAGAAGCAACAGTTTTATCACTAAAGTTTAGCACTAGTCACTGTACTTAAGATTCTGATCTTGCAGTTGCTTTAAGAAAAACTAGTGCTTTAGACAGTTGGAAAAAAAAGTGCTAATTAAGACTAGTGTTTAGTTGGCAGTCTGAAATACAAATCACTTTTTACAAGGTCTTTCCATTTATGTTTGCATGATATGTTAAAAATGAAATGTTGAAAATCACTGGTAATCATGTATAATCCTGCTGCCACTGCACAGCAACAACACACAATGACATGCATTGCTCCTGCAACTGTACTCAGTTGTGAGTATTAATAAGCTGAATATGGCTAGGATGTTTAGGTGTCAGTGTCCTATACAATTTATTTATAGACATATATTTTCCATCTGTTAAGATAAGAAAATACATTTCCTACTGAAAAATGACATTAATATACCAAATAGAGAGGAAAGAGTTTTATATTTCATAGAGTTGTTTACTATTCATCTGAGCCTAGGATATTCCTACTGTAACAAGAAGACATTTACATCTATTCTGCCTTCATGAGGCCACATCTAGAGTAATGTGTCCAGTTCAGGACTTCCCAGTTTAAAAAAAAAAGCCAGGAAACTACTGGAGAGAGGGGATCTTATTCATGTTTTAAAAATTCAAGAAAGGGGGGCCAAGCTTTTTTTGGTGGTGCCTAGTGACAGGACAAGGGATAATGGGCACAAACAAGAACATAGAAAGCTCCATAAAAGCATGAGGAAAAACTTCTCTTTGCGGGTGACAGAGCACTGGAATAGACTGCCTAGAGAGGTTGTGGAGTCTCCTCTGGAGATAGTCAAAACCTTCCTGTACATTTCCTTGTGTAATGTACTGTAGGGAACCTACCTTAATAGGAGAGTTGGACTAGATGATCTCCAGAAGTGCATTCCAACCCCTATGATTTGTGATTCTGTGTTTCTGTGGTCCACATGGAAGAGAGTAAAACTTACTCCATTCAAGAAAGTGTACAGACTACTCTAAATTACACAGGGAACAGAGAAATTAAACTTAAGATGGAGACCTAAGAGGTTTGGTAAGAGTTAACCAGCTGCACCAAAAGAGGAAGACAATGGTAATTATAAGATTTGGAGCCATCCTTTTATCAGGATGTAAAAGGAAAGGGAGGTGAACAAATCCTATTGATATGGGTGTGATATGGGAGCCTCCAGGAGGTTCCTGGACTTAATTGATGATAATTTCCTTTTTGTGGTGACAGAGGACTCAGTGAGGAGAGGAACTCCGACCAACATGGAAGTGCTTGTGGCAAATCTGAAGTCCAAGGGTACCCTTGCCTGAAGAGACCATGAAGTGAGGGAGTTAAGATCCATAGTGCAGCCAGAACAAGCTCACTACTTGTGAATGCCTTATCCCTGTAAGCATTCAAGGCCAGGTGGGATGGGGTTTTGGTCAACCTGACCTAGTGAAAAGTGTCACTGCTCATGTCAGGGGATCAGAATTAGACATTTTTTATGATCCTTTCCCACCAAAAACTTTCCATGATTCTAAGATTCTATGGCTTCCATTTAAGTCAATTAACTGCAATTTTTCTTCTATTTCTTCACCTCTGTTGTTTTTAAAAACATGTTGAAAATTATCTACTTTAGATTTTATGAATAAATTTGTTTACTTATACATGTATTCATATCTATATTAACCTAATTTGATTTAAGCATATTTTTTCTAATTTATTATCTATAGTGAGTTCCTTCCCCAGGATCTCTAGAACTGTACACTGGGACTTCATGTCCCAAGAGCTGCAGCTCCATCGAGCATGTTTTGCTTTATCGAAAGGTTAACAGAAGAACTGCTCATTTGAACTACATGTTTTACATGGAGATTTGACATCATAGGAATTGCAAAAATTGAATCTGTCTTCCAGAAATTGTTTGTGACAAACTCTTTGGTTTACAGAAAGTTTGGGATTTTTCTCATAAAAATTTTGAAGCTACTTACACCTTTAAAAGTAAAATAACTTTCAAAATGAGATTTTTTTTTTTCCTGAGGAAGAAATGGGATCCCTTGCAAAGGCAAGGGAAAGCTACCAGTGCTCATGAAGTGGATTAGTGGTATAACATCTCAGAATTTACATAGTGTTAGATTGATAATTTAGTAGCAGAAAGTAATCTCCAAGAGATTGCTTCATCAAGGAAATAATAAATTGCTTGCATTCTAATATCACACAGTAACGAAAAAGAAGAAAAATAAAAGAAAGAATATATTACAAACTGACCTTAGTTGTAGGAGAATAATTTCCTTGTTAGAAAAGCATATGCAACACAAACTTCTCTCCTATTTGTTGAGGGACCAAAGTTATTACAAACAACCCGTAGAATAGCTCAGAATTGCTTACCCCAAAGGGCAGAGCACCCCTTTCTGCATCAATCTCTGCTGACAGGGAGGAACCTGATTGCATACTTGGATTTTGTTGTACTATCTTAGATAAAATAAAGGAATAAAAAGTCTAATATTTGTCCTTGGAAAGACAAACATATTGTTTGAACAGAAAGCAAGAACTTTGAGTAAGTCAGCATACAAAACATAGCAAAAGTACAATTTCCCATTGTTGACAGTACGCATTAAGTTTGTTCCACAATCAGAAACAATACATCTAAAGTGGGAAATGAGCAAAACATCAGCCTTCTAGAGAACCTGTTGTGCATCTTCTCCAGCAGATTCATCAGCTTGGGGGATTTCTCACAGCTGTTGTTAAATGGTACTGGCCACTTAAAATGTGGTGTAATTTTTGCAATTAAATTGTGAATATTCAGTGAAGTAAATGCAATCAATTTCACACAATAGTATTATCTGTCACTTCACATATTATTAACATTTCATTTTGTCCACTTCAAAAAAAAGCACTTCCCTGGTGTAGCCAAAATAAATGAATCAAAGTAAATATCACAAAGACATTTTTTTTGGTTGAGATCACTCTCATACTTCTGCTATCACTTCTCAAAGATTTGCAAAAACTAAAATTTCCGGTGATGATATCCACTTATGTTCAGTTCTTAGTGTGAAAGCAAGAAGTGATTATCAATCCAGCAGACCATAAAGACCTTTTCAATAGATCCTATCCTTTTCCTCTGGAAGCTCATTATGCTCATTAATCACTTGAGTAAATGCCAAGGAATCTGATTCCAGGTTTCCACTCCTTGTTTGGACATTTGACTCCTGCTGTAGCAGCTACAAAGGGTTTGTTTGTTTGATTGATTGATTGATGGATGGAGGAGAAATAGGCTTCTGAACAAATGCAGAGAACGTGGATGTTAATACCACATCATCAAGGAAATTGTATGGGAAGAACATGGTCTACATAGGTAGATTATCCTCAAATACAACAAATGTACTCTGAATTCCATAGAACTTTTTCATTGTGATTCTTTAATTTTAGTTACATATCACTTTATTGTGGATATTTGAAGACTGTATTGCGTTTTTTTTTTCCTGTTTCTTTTTTTTTTTTTTTTTTTAGTGGAATTCAGAGAAATCATGAAGAAATGCTAGTATTAAATTAGTTTCTGATATTTCTTCTTGCAGTTAGATGCATATAACACCTACATATTCAAGTCAGTAGAATAAAATGATTGTATTTGTGCATATAAAGTAATATCAGCAACCAAAGAACTTTTATAGTTTATCTGCATTTATCAAAATATACTGTGTGTTAGTATACCATAATAAATGAGGAGGAAAGAGATTACTGATTTTATACAACCCCTTTCTTTTATAGCAGTGCACAGTGCTGAGCATTGTACTTTTTTGTAAGTACTCCCATTGTACTGAACAAAATTTTCTTCCTGATTCTTATAGCTGAGAAAAATAAAGGTATGGAAAAAAAATGTTAACGTCACCCAGCATCACTAGCCAGTGTATTTTTCTATGTCTCTACCAAATAATCACTTTGTTCTTCCTGAAAAATGGAATCTGTCAGTCTGTATTATGCTGTACTATGTAGGGAAAACTAGACTACACACCAGCTCTTTTACATCGCTTCTTAAAACAAATCCTTATTAGCATTTTGATGCTGAATGCTTCTCATGAGAAGTCATTACATGTAGCCAAGCAACTGCATCTCTCACTCTGTGTACTGAGTGCCTGGGTAGAACTAACCATATATCAAATTTATGCAACTAAACCATGAATCAATATTATTCTTCATGAATTGTCAAAAAAAGCTCTCATAGGCTAGCACAGACCACAGTTTCAGATAAATTAAGGGATAAGTTCCCTGATGAACTAGAATCAAGGTGGATTTATAGAATTCTAGCAAGACATTATTTTTCTCTTGGCTGAGGCAGATATTTTTCTCACTGAAAATGGGAGATACAGATTTTGTGGGGGTGACATATTGGCTAAATTGTTGTCTCGAGTTTGTAAAGAAGAGAGAAATTTATTTATTAAAATGTTTTTCAAGAAGAAATTGTATGCTTTAGCATAATTACTGATAGTTAAGAAAAGAATCTTCCACTGTAGTTATGAACACTATTTAAAGCGGGATGAAATTGTCAAGAATTCTGTTTATAATGACTTTGTCTGCTGAACTTAATTGTGAGGGAGGCCCCATTTGAGGGAGAAAGCACACCACAGAACAAAAGGGGTAAATTTTTTTCATTTTACTGTTGGAATATTATCCTTTATTCTTTCATCTGTTTTCAACTTATGGTAGCGATTATGAGTGCTAATGAGACATCTGATCTTGCTTCAGGCAGTCATTTTCTGGTTAACACAACAGGGGTATCAAACATCTATTCTAGTGTTATAGAAGAGCAATGGGCTGGGGTCACATATTCTTGTCTTGTACCTACCCAGTCATGACAATTCTTTTCTCTTACCTGAAATACTTATTACACTATTTTATTTTCTGTCTGCACCTCTTATATGAACTCCTTGTCACTAATTTATGTCAGGAAAAGATATAACTCTTACAGGTGTTTCCAATTTAGAAGCCAGTCAGAACTATTTGAAATATTTTTTTCCTTTGGGGAGCTAATTGTAGTCAAGTTGAAAAGTACAGATGTGTTGTTTAGTTCAAGAAACAAGTGGTGACTGATGAGCAGAAGTAGCGCTTGAACCTGGGACCCAAGAAGTAGAGTTTAATAAATTGGGGTATCAGTCTACAGAGAAAGTACCATTTGAAAACATGATTTCTTTCATGTTGACTTAATTTTTCAGAAACTGTAACCAAACCTGGCAGTTCTGAGCCATTCGCTTCATCAGCCTTATTTATCAGCAGAAAGTCAGACAATGCTTTTGGGCCTGTATTCCTCTACCACTGACAATTATACATATAGACAGCACTGCTGGTATTATGTAACATGCCCAGTGGAACTAGGCAAGCAGTTTTTATTTAAAGGAAGCATCCTTGCATAGACTCAAAATCTGTGTAAAAAGCATTTACAAAAGGTTTGATTAATTAACATGAATTTTGTTATTGAGGAAATATCTTGTTCATTGCCACTGCTTTTTCATTATGACATGATCACTTGTACATCAAACTCTTCTAGTGTCTACTTTTCACAAACTAAATTTGGTTCCAATTAGCTATTTACAGGAGGTAGCCGTGAGATCTTTTGTCCTTTGCTCAGGGACATGATATAGCGGTGGATTGTTAGGGTAGTATGGTTAGGTTGCAAGTCCTTTCCAACCTGAGCTATTCTATGATTCTGTCTCTTCTAGAAATGAACACAGAAGAACAGAGAGCCTGATTAGTGGAAATACTTTCCTAATATCCAGTTGTTTTAAATCATAACAATTAAAGAGAAACACTTGTGCTCTGGGACTGATAGCAAATGCTGTTAAATATTTTTCTGCATACATATAAAGTCTGGCTTTCAATGAAATGCGTTCCAAAAACTTTTCCAGAAAGCAGAATGGTGTATGAACATCGGATGTATTCACCATGCAAATTCAAGTTAATGAGTTGTCTGCTTTTTGTCCTACTTGATATTGAGATAGAAATTTGGCCTTAATTTAAGAAACAGATTTTGCTATAACATTTTAAAGCATACCAAAATAGAAAAAGATATGTTACTTTATTTTTGACATGTGGAAAAAGTAAAAAGAGGTAAGAAAAAATTACTCAAGCTAGACCTTCAAAAACTGGTGACAAGTGAGCAGTTTATGTATTTTTCCCCATCCCAAGTTATTCCAAGTTATTTCTGGGCAATACCTTATTTGGAAGTATCTCCTTCAAACACTGATTATTATATAATCACGTATATAATCATTTATATATTATAAAAAATACAATTTTAATCTTGTGACTGAACACTGTTTAACAAGATCAGTTAAATATTTAAAATTACACTTCCAGTCTAATGTGCAACTTTTATTTGCTAGAAACTGCTAGATTTTCTCAATAAGCATTTGAAATTTTAAAACTTCAAAGAAATTTTAGACTGAAGAGATTAATTTAAATGAAAAATTATTTTGAAAATCTTCCAATCGTTTTGTCTTCAAATATCTCTAAATTTTATGCATATTTCATTAAATATTTACTTTCTTGAAATATACCATTCCTGAAACTTAAATACAAAGCAAATCAAAGCTTGCTAAGAAAATAACATGAAAATATATAGAAATGCTGATGTTCTCATTATCCAACAGAACCATAAAAAACTGAGGACTAGAATCTACAGTCACTGAATCCTTTATTCATATTATTTTTAATTTTACATTTATGGAGTCCAACACAAATCAGTAAATTTGTGGGAATACAAGAAAAACTGTTCAGAGCAGCAACTGTGGAGCAAGATAAACAACATGAAAACCAAGGATACCTCTAGAAGAAGAAAGAACATCTCACAGCTCTGACTGGATAAGCACCTGCATGAACGGTTGAAGAGTGTTTTATAAAATGCTCTGTTGACATGTAAAGGTGGATGGGAAAGTTGTAGGGTGGATGGGAAAGCTAGAAAAAGAAAACTTGTGAAGGTATATAAGTGATGTGAGAACTTGTAATAAGCAATTGGGATCATTCACATCTGAGTCTGTGCATCCGACGTTGCAAGTAAAGACACCCGTATATATAATTGTAACTCTAATAAAAGATGTCCATTCTGTAAACACTTATTCATGTAGGTAGCAATTAGGTGAATTGATTTTACTCACAGTATAACTCTAAACCACAGATATTGTGGATTATTTTCAGAATTGGGAATGCACGTTATCAAAACGTAAGTTTTTTTAACTGTTGGTTTCTTCTTAAGATGTTAGACTCTATTAAGTCTTCTTGGAACTGTGTTAGGGAAGAGAAGACATTTTTCAAAATGGACAAATTTCTGGATGTGCTGTCATCTTATAATATTGGTTCTTGACATAGCATTTTTTTCCTCCATCAGAATATGACTTCACATATCAGTAGTCCTCAAATTCACAGGCACATGTCAGCTTTACCAGCTGCTCATTAATTTATGTATTTTAAAGAAGGCAGAGAAATATGGAAAGTTTGTTTCTTATCAAGTGAGTTGAATGTGCATATGAACTTAATGAGGAAACATAATGGGTCAACAGGACAAAACTCCCACGCTCAATTCCTGTCTGTTTGATGAGTTCCTTCAGCAGAGTTTGATCCTAAGAATGTGCACATTTATAGCACAGTGTTCCTTATTTTAAAACAGCTGTGATTCACTGTATGGAGGGTGGGAGAACTGAGAAGTTTGAGTATATTAGCTATTTTAAAGGAGGAAAAAAAATACCTTTTTTTTTTCACTTTTCTGGTAGAAATTTAGCAGGCAGAATATTTAAGCAGGACATTTAGTCTTATATCAAATTTGATCCTGCTACCAGTTACTTTCTAGTTCTGCAAGCAGCTTACTTTGTCACTTAGTATTAAATGTATTACCCACAGAGCAGTAATTACATTTGACACATAATTATTATGGTTTTGATGACAAGAAGGCCTTTTCTTTTCCTGCTTTCATAGCATATATTCCTGATAGTGTTGGCTTGCTGAATACAGTTAGTTTAAAAGCATTTGGATTTAAATTGAACCCTTGGACAAAGAATAAAATGAAAAGGTAAAGAAAGGGTGAGTATATTTGAAAATTCCACAGATGATCTCACACAAGTAGAAAGGAAAGCACAGGAAAGAAAGCCTTTAAGTGTTGTTAACGCAAAAGGAGAAGGAGCTGCCTCACTGCAGCCATGCCAGATCCCCAACAGGAAAGGAGTGCTTTTAAAGTTAATAAACTGAAAGAGGTTTGGAAAAAATGGAGGCTCCTGGCAAGGCCACATAAACTACACAAATGAGTTTCTAATCTTGCCACCTGGGCATTTTTCCAGCGCTGCACTCTGAGTCACCCCCAGCTGCAGGCCTGGATGAGCAGTTTAACAATCCTTCAGTTTTTTGCTTTTTTTTTTTAATGATCAGAATTGGAGTATCATGTTTCTGAAGCCTGGGGGTTGTGTGGTATTCAAGCAGGGTGAGTGCTTGGAATTCCTCCAACCATACCTGCAGCGGCCTCTCTGGAATGGTTAGAAACCTAAAGCTGCAATCTTTGGGCTATTAACTTCTAGCTACCTCGTCTCCTCTTGATTTCTAATGGCACACATGAGAAGTACAGTTGGGAGGGCGGTAAATACACCTCTATCTTTTTTAAAAACAGAGTTACAAGAGATGGAGGGAGCAACGTTAATGCTGGGAATCCTTCAGCTGAGCAGTTTTGAAGGAAACCTGAGAGGAAAAGAATGACCTGGCTTCCTTCTCTAATCTGTGAGCTGAACATCAGTGTCAAGGAAGCTGAACTTGATGTACAAGGGAGCCTTCCTTTTGATGTGTGCTCTTCAATCAGTGCTGAAACAATCATAATTAAGTTAACATACTATAAAGCAGCTCTAATTTTAGCCTGGTTTATTATTGTAAGCATTGGTAGGGAATGGTAAAGGGGGAGGTAGAGGCTGCTATGAATGACTAATACTGTATTTCACACTCATAAGCCATTTTTAGTAATGTGGGATATAAAAATAAGCTTTCAGTAAAATGTTTCCTATTTCACTTCTGTTTCCTTTCTTCTTTCCCTCTCCTAAAGATGGATTTAACTAATTACTCTTTTAGCTGGATGTTGATAGACAGGTATTTATTATTGGTACTGTAAGCCCCTAAAATTTTTTCCACAGTGAGTCCACAAACATATACATTATACTACGATTCTCTGGGGCTGTCAGAGTTACAGAACAGCCTGAGGCATAGCAGTATGATAAAGTTTTTAGGCCCTGTTTAGTTAAGACTGAAAATCTGGGACCCAGCCAATCTATACCACTCAGGGCTCTTTTCACAGTCCAAAATGATTTGGCTTAAACATTTCCAACTGTGATGAGGTCCCATTTCAGTGATTACACAGTCATTCACTTTTCCACATCAACATCAAAGTCATTAACAACTGAGTATTATTGCACTGGCTGGAATTCAGTTAAGGACTAGAGGGATGTTGCTCTTTATTAAGATAAATCATTGCCTTGGTTATGTCACCCATGAAATAATCAATTTACTGTGTTGGTTAATTTCCTTCCTCTTTGATCTGTGAATTAAATTCAACAGATCATTGTTTCACACAACTGCCGTGCAAAGGATGCCTTAAAAGAAATGTGCCACAATTTCTGATGATAAAAGTCTAATAAGTATGTAAAACAAGATGACTGCAAGTGACCTGAGAACTTTTTTTTTTTTTTTTTTTTTCCCATTCTTCCTTTCAATGATTTCCTTTGAAAGCTTCAGGGGAAAATGAACCATCAGCACCCATTTGGGTGATCCTCTCTTAAAATTCCTGAAGAATTAACAAGAGGAAAGAGAAAAGCTAGCAGAATTAACTCTGAAGCTTTCAGATGAGTTAGGTTTGTGCCAGAGCCAATGAAAATGTTTTCATCTAAGTGTATGGAAATGTATTGGTAGCCTTTATGAGATGTACATATTTGGATGCTTACTCTGAGGAATTTTCTAGAAAAATTCTACTCTTACACCAAGCCAAATATTGTGATCAAAATAAATCTAAATAATACAATGTATTGGTATTGGTTCCTATTCCAATCTTCTTTTGCATTGTACTATATATTCTGAAATTGAAATATACATAAATAAGTGAACAAGTTAGGGACAATACTGCATACTTGCCTAGTCCCACACACCTGTGTTGGGAAGGTTACTGTAAATGATAAGTAACTATTTCAGTTAGGCTTTTGAGATAAACTTTATGCAGCATTATAGTTCTAACTGTGGAACCAAGATACTCAGTTTGCAAGTTTTTGTCTCTAAGGTTCTAGAACATGAATTAGTGAGTACTAATGCTAGTGTTTTTGAAAGAAAAGGTATATTAAAATATTATTACTATAATAATTGAGCTAGAGTTCCCAACTGAACTAATAATAAACTAACACCTTTTTTATCTTCCTTTTGTACCAGTAAAACATTTTCTCTCATCCTTAGTTCATAGATCTGGTTTTTAGTAATGGACCGCTAGACTACTTAGTTATGCAGGTTGCTCCAAAAGTAATGCCTCCTATTTATTTCCATACAACAGATACAAAGAACCCAATAACACCATTTGATAGACCAAATTCTCAGCTACAGAACACTAATATCACCACCATTAGCTATGCAT